TTAAAAGCAATAAGAGCAAAGAAGTTAGTTACCTACATGTGAGTTCCCATAAGACTGTCAGCTGTTTTCTCAAAAGAAACTTGCAGGCTAGAAGGGGCTAGCAAGAAATATTCAAAGTCATGAAAAGCAGGGACCAACAGCCAAGATTGCTCTACGCAGCAAAGCTATCATTCAGAATCGAAGGGTGGATAGCAAGCTTCCCAAACAAGAAAAAATTAAAGGAGTTCATCATCATGAAACCACTATTATATGATGTTTACTTATTCTAAGTAAAATAAGCCAGTCACAGAAGAACAAATAATGAATGATTCTACAATACATGTATGAGGTAGCTAAATTAGTCAAAAATCATAAAATCAGGAAGTGTAATGGTAGTTGCCAGGAACTGTGGGGAGGAGAGAACGAGAAGTTATGCTTACTAGGTATGGCGTGTAAGTTCTACAAGATAAAAAGAGTTATTGGGATGGATGGTGGTCACAGTTGTACAACAATGTAAATGTATGGTATTTAATGCCATTAAACTGTAGACCTAAAAACGGTTAAGATGGTAAATTTTATGTGTATTAAATAAGTACCAAAAAATAAGTACCCAGATGAAAGTTCTGGGATCTTATCTTCCAGCTTGAGCCTGTAACAGGGCCACAAGCATGGGCACTGCTAATGAATTAAGGACCAAGGTCCATTAAGAACAATTCATCTCAAAAATTCTGGAGATGGATGATGGTGGTGGTTAGACAATAATGTGAATGTACTTAATGCAACAGAACTATACACTTTAATGTGACTTAATGATATATTTATGTATATCTTACCATAATTCTAAAAAAAATTTTAGCCTGAAATGAACACAGGCTGACAGAGGTTTTGATTTCTCTGAAACTTGGTGAATAAAGCAATCAGTAGGATTGTTACCTGTAGCACTCTCACTTCAATTCTCATTGACTCCTTGTAACCTTAAGATAATACCAGTACTTACCATATTAGGACCCCAGAAGTAATAAGCAAATCTTAGTAGGCTGCTTCCATATTTACTGCATTATCTACTATGTGCAAATTACTGTTTAAAGAGCAAAAAATAGTACAGCAAATTAGAGTATTAATGCAATTCAAGATGAAGTTGCCAGTGGCCTTAAGCAATTTTTGGATATTTGTGACCCTGGCTCTAAGATATGAATTCCTTTTAAGTGCAGAATCACCAGAACTCTCACACATATATTCAATGAAGATCTGCCTCTCTTCCCAGAAATATATGAGTATTTGCAAGACTATAATTAATGAAGCAAAACCTCATAAGGGAAAATGTAGCTCTCTCTACCATATAATGCAATGAAACTATTTAATTTGAAAGAAGTATTGTCAGAGGGACTCTAAGAATTGTGTAAAACACCCCAGGAGTTTACAGGGTAGATACAGAGTCTACATGATGTGCTCTATCTAGAGGTTTTGCCCCACTGTCAAAACAATACTTAGAAAATTTTAATTATAAAATATTAAGTTCACTGAATAAAAAGTTAAAAACTGAAATAAACAGCAAAAGTTTCCCACTTATTCCTTCAGTTCAATTTTGTTTGAGAGACAATATACTTTTAGAAATATTATATCATTTAAAAATAAATAGTATATTATATTTACTTCAACTCCCATTTCCCCCCACTTACCATAACTTGGACATCTATATTCCAAGATAATCCTTTTTTGTTTGTTTGTTTGTTTTAATTTTATTTATTTATTTTTAGAGAGGGAAGGGAGGGAGATAGAGAGAGAAACATCAATGTGTGGTTGCTGGGGGTTATGGCCTGCAACCCAGGCGTGTACACTGGTTGGGAATCGAACCTGCGACACTTTGGTTCACAGCCCGCGCTCAATCCACTGAGCTACACCAGCCAGGTTTGTTTTAAATCATAAAATATAAGCTTTTAGAACCAATATAACACAATTCTGCATAAAATATTAATAATTCTTTCCACCCTGTGATGGTTATATTTTGTGTCAACTTGGCCAGGCTATAGTGCCCAGCTGTACAGAAAATACTAGTCCAGATGTTAATATAAAGGCATTCTATAGATGTTGAATAACATCCTCGATCAGTTGACTTTAAGAGTATACTCCATAATGTGGGTGGGCCTCATCTGATCAGTTAAAGGACTTAAGGGGTCGGGGGGAGGAACAAGGTCTCCCAGAGAAGAATTCTGGCTCAAGACTGTAACAAAGAAATCCTGCCTGAGTTTCCAGTCTGTTAACCTGCCCTACTGAGCTACAGATTTCATATTAACAAGTCCCTCACAATCACCTAAACCTAGTCCTTACAATAAATCATATACAAGGTCTTTCTGATAACAGTCTAGCCATTGTTTACATAACAAGAATGGTTTGTTATGAAACAAGAATGGTTTCATCAATGTAACCTTGAAGCCAAGGAGAATGGACTGGAATGCACATGCATGAATAATGACTTCACTATACTAGTCAGTGGGGGCAGTAGACACCATTGAGTGAGCATGTGTACTGTGCAGCTGTCACATTCAAAATGACCTAGCAAGTAGAACAAGTGATTTGCATCAAAATTTCTATTAAGCTTGAAACATTCCTCCAGGAGGAGGGCTTTTAGGGACAATGCAATGAGTGCAGTGCAAATAAAAGTGTGGCACAAATGCTTCAAAGATGATCAAGAATCTGTTGAAAGTGATCCACATTCTGGAAGGTCTGCAACAAGCAGAACACCTGAGAATGTTGACATGTCTGGGCTGCAATCAACAAAGATCAGCGATTGATAGTGTGAGAACTAGAAGCTGATCTGGGGATTCCAAAAACTACCATGTCTAAGATTTTGACACAGGATCTCTGCATGAAATGTGTTGTGGCAAAATTCATTCTGTGGCTTCTACTATCAGAGCAAAAGGAACATCGTGCTGCAGTTGCTAATGAATTGATTCAAACTGCTACCAGAACCAGATTTCCTCAAGAAGGTCTTAACCAAAGATGCATCATGGGTCTGCAGCTATGATCCAGAAACAAAGGCCCAGTCATTACAATGAAAGTCGCCTGGTTCTCCACACCTGAAAGCATGGCAAAGTTGCAGCAAGATCAAGACCACATTAACTGTGATTTTTTTATCAGGAAAGTATTGTCCATCAGGACTACACCCCTCTAGGCCAAACAAAAAGGAGTACTACCTAAATGTTCTTCAATAAGATGAAAATGGACACAGCTATAGACAACTGGTGATTGGCAGCTCCATCACAACAACATGCCTGCTCATGTATCACATCATATGCAGAGGTTTTTGGCAAAACATCAAATCACCCAAGTGACTCAGCCTCCCTACAGCCCAGATTTGGCACTCTGTGACTTCTGACTTTTCCCTAAACTAAAATCACCTTTAAAAGGGAAGAGACTTGAGACTGTTGATGAGATTCAGGAAAATATAATGCGGCAGTTGATGGTGATTCTAACAAAGGACTTTGCAGTGTTTTGAACAGTGGAAGAGATGCTAGGAGAACTATGTAAGGTCCCAAGATGCCTACTTTGAAAGGGAATGAGGCATCATTGTCCTGTGTACAATGTTTCTTGTATCTTATATCTTCTTCTCAATAAATGTCTATTTTTCATATAACATGGCTAGCGGGATACTTTCTGGACAGACCTATTGATTGTTTCTCTAGAGAACCCTAATGCACACCCTTTAAATCCACTGCCTATCTAATAAATGTATGCTTTTTTCCTAAGAAATTAGTTCATGATATACTTAGGAGTCTGCATCTCAACTTTTTCCTATGTAATAATATAACATGGACATCCTTCTATGTCAGCAGGCTGAGATTTAACTCATTCTTCTCATGTGCCACACATTAAGCCATTATATGGATGGGCCCATTTATATAAGGAAGGGACATATAGACATAGAGGTTGTTTCCAGGTTTTTTGCTCTTGGCACTCTTGATCTCATTATTTGCAGCAAGGTTTCTAGAAACAGATTTATACTCTGCCCTTGTCTTTTACTCCCATGCTTTGCTTCCAAATGATATACTTAAAATCTACTGAAAATTTACCCTATAGATTTTCCCAGCTACCACTTTAACAATAAATAGCCTGGATTTAAAGCCAAATGTATCTAACAAGTGCAATGATTCAAGTGAAAGTTTTACTGTTCAGACATTTGAGACACACCAGCAGTCAGCTGTTCTCACTGCCTTTCATACAAAGCCAATCACGTATGACTATGTCATTTAATCTCTTATGTAGGAGACCTGAATAAAAAGTATCCCTCTTTTTTTCCAATTCTATTTTTTAAATAAACTGTTTAATTCAAATGTTGAGAAAACAGGCAACTAGAAAAAATAACGAACCATGTTTGCATTTCATCCACTGACTTTTTTATGCCAACCAGAGGGATCACTGCCTAGTTTACAGTTAAGCAAGGACACTAGCTCCTTCCTTGGGCCAACAAATCAAATGCTCGAGGAAGGACTGAGGGAACTTGAAAATTCAGGGCACTGATGTCATCACATTGGTGTTCTCGATCTTTAGGGTGCCTTGCCAACCCAGCCCATGAAGCAAATTCACTAGCCTCTACTGAGCTGCAGAATATTTCCAATAATAGGAAGTCACACAGGTACCCAGGCAATAAGATCATCCCAGCAAATTCTCTAGGCAGAGAGAAATGTCTGCAATCACTTTCACCAAAGCTACTTCTCCAGCTATCTGGACTCTCTGGAGAGTACCTTAGTTTAAATGTTTCTATTTATCTGCCCTAGCTGGTGTGACTCAGTGTATTGAGTACCAGCCTGTGCACCAAAGGGTCCCCAGTTTCATTGCCAGTCAGAGCACATGTCTGGGTTACAGACCAGGTCCCCAGGAGGGGACGCACGAGAGGCAACCACACACTGATGTTTCTCGCTCTCTCTTTCTCCCTCCCTTTCCTTCTGTCTAAAAATAAATGAAATCTTTAAAAAATAAAAACTAAAAAAAATTTCCTATTTATCTGAAATAACCAGTAATCATTTTTATAATTATATATTACTCCAATTTATTAAATAATGAATCAAGGTTTATGCTACACATTCCAATAATGTTTAAATAAAGAGCTTGAACTATAAAGGCTTATAAAAACTTTACAGTCTTTCTAAGATATATACTATTTCTAGCCCAAGAATAAATACAGAGGAGGCATTTTTATATTACAGATCAGCAACATTTAGCATTAATGATTACACAAATCCATAAGCAAATGAAAAAATCCATTTTTTTTTTCATTTTGATTATAAAAGCTAAAAATCCTTTTGCCTAAGTAATATCCAAGGGTGCAGAGACACAGGCAGCCACATCCCCCAAAACCAGGGGCCAAGTCTCCCAGTTCATTAAGTTCTTTCTTGGTTGGAAGCTTTAACAATTGCTCTTTCAGAAAGCAAAAAGAAAACAAAAATAGGTTAAGATCCTGTTTTATAAAGTATTTAAAGAAATTACTGCATTTTTGTCTTAAAAACATACTCAGACTGAGTTTTGAATTTCTTTTCATTCTGATATGAACATGTACATAATTTTAATAAATTGATATAATGAATATTACATGACATTCACTTTTAGAAATAATATGTACACTTAAAAAATAAAATGTTTTCTACATTTAAAAAAAGAGTGGTTCATAATAAGTAATTCTTTAAACTCAAGGAACTCAAAAGTGAAAGCCTTTCTATAGAAAGCCTGTATCACGTCATGGAATGTTTTGGTAAGAAGAAAAAAATTTCTTCTTTATGAAAATATGGTTCAGTACCAGGAGTTTAGCTCTCCAGAGTCACCTCTAGAGAGTACCAGGGAAAACTGGACTTTCATCTTAGTCTTTAAGCAATCCAAATAACTTACCACTTCACCAACCTTCTGTCTTCCCATCTCTTTTTAATAACTCTGCCTTAGCTCTTACTTTTGGAAATAAAATTCTGCTCCACAAAATCTTCTTTAAAGTCAACATTAATAAAGAAGGCAAGATGAAAGTGACTGGGAGGAAAATGCCCAATCCACAAGAAAAACCTGCATTCCTTCTATTGTGCTTCACAGAAGGAGACAGCCCAGGAGCTAGACAAACTGATACAGAGTAGACAGTGCAGAAGTGTCTAACCTGGAGCCCCCATATAGTACATATTTACTGTTCTCAAACAGTAGAACTGAAGCCCCTTCCTGGGGCTGTCTTCTAGAAGTCAAAGTTCTTGATGCTATCACAGTCACTTTTTACTTTGAAAAGAACAAGATGAAGACAAGAAAGAAGAGGAAGAATGATTTATCTTCTCTTTAGAAGAAAAGAAGGAAGATATACACCTCTTATCAGAAACTAACTGAACAGGTACAGTACTAAGGAAATAGTTTCTAAAATGTCAAGCAAATATTTTCCAGCCAAGCTAATTAGGAAGTAGAAGACAGGAAATATTTTAACATAACCTGAACTACAGTAAAAACTGGAAAATCTGGAAAAAATCAACTCTTTTCACTTGCAACATTCTACTAAGGAAAATATAATAAAACCCTAACTTACACAGTGCTCTTTTTCTCACAGGTCTTTAACAAAGGGCTTTACTCTGAATTCTGATGAGTAGTCATAATAAAATGACTCTTCCATACACACAGAATGTTTCTTCTTGGATTACAGCAGTATGACAACATAATGTAAACACCCTTACCAAACAAGTAGCAGCAACTAACATTTTCTTCATTTGACCTTCAACTTCCATAGATGTTATTATCTCCATTTCCAGATTGAGAAATAAACTTTGCTAAAAATCATAGAGCAAATTACTAACATGACCTAAGACAGAACCCAAGCTGCTTGAAACACCTCCCATCAACACAGAGCTTGCCACTTTCATAGCCAGCATATCACACCATCATGAGCTTACATATTAATATTTTGTAACAATTCCTCACAAAGTCAAGCCTCCAAAGGCTTAAAATTACTATAAGTGAAAAATCCTGCCAACATAGGAAGTTATAAAGTAGTGCAATATTCCAGGGATCTATTTCCTGCACTATTATTCCTAGGATTGAATAGTCCAGGTCTCCACTTGCAAAATTTCTTCTGCTGATAAGAAGCAAAAGCCCCCAAGTTCAGGAACAATAATACCCTTTTGGAGACTCTATCCCATGTTCCAGTGAGTTTTCTTCAGAGTCTGGTACTCTTGGCTATGAGCTGAGATGCATCAGGTGCTACTCTCCCCTGAAGAAAACAGTATGTGGTTCCTGATCTTCTTGCAAGTTTTCTTTAACAAAAGCATGCATTTCATGTTATCTTTGATGTCAAAGGGCACTTTGATGGTAAGGACTTGTGTTTATGCCATTAAAGATTCAATGCAGAGTGTCTGATGCCAACACACAGCAGTCTGAACTAACCCAGTCTTCATCTGTTGCTCACACCTCAGAATCTGTGATGATCCAAGCAGTGAGAAGCAGTGTGAAACACAGGAAGCTTTACTGTTGTAGAAATTAGCATTTTTCAAAGGGATGTCTCATGCAGCCTTGACTCGTCATAAATCCAATTTCTTCAACTGTTCATATGTCACAAAGAACTACAGTTATCAGTTAAGGCTGACAAAAAAAATGCCATCTTAACCCAGACACATTTATAAATAGCACATCTATGAACAAATATATCTGGGCAGACTACATGCCATAAACATGACTAAATATGAAGGGCTTCAGCCTAACCATCCTGAAAGGTCTACCCATTAGCCTTCCCAAAGTCAGTTTAGAACAGAAAAATCACAGCTAAGATATATAAATCCCCTAGCATTAGCTCAGAAAGCTTCTTTTAAGATTACATCCACAATACCTAGCTTTTGTGACTTTACGGAACAGTAAGTTCTATGTAAAAGAGAAACACAACCAGCCCTGGGAAGCTCTCCTCAAGAGTTTCTACTAGGCAGACTTCCATAGGAGGGAGGCGCAGATAAAGAGAAACAAGAGGATGGTTAAGCCAATATTCCCTACCTTATAATTCTGCCCTTTTGTGTATAATAAACTGCCACTTCTTTCCTACCCCTGACTTTGGCATATAGGAAATAGTGCTGACTGGCCAAATAATTCCAGAGCTAATTACTGTTTATCCTTAGGCACTCTCTAAAACAGCAGTTCCCACTGTTTTTAGCACTAGGGATCAGCTTCCTGGAAGACAATGTTTCTGCAGGCAGACAGGGCAGGGGCAGGAGCATGGTTTCCAGATAATTCGAGCACATTACATTTAAGCTCACCTCCTTCTGTGCAACTGGTTCCTAAGAGGCCCTGACCGCCACAGCCCAGAGGCTGGGGAGCCTTGCTCTAAAATAAACATTCTGGAACACTGCTGCCAAAACATATCCCTTCTAAGGATGGCTGAGGATATAAAATCAATCCTGCCTCTCTCTGAAATCCTAAATACTCTCAGCTTTTAGAACAGAGTCTAAATAAAAATTTGTATAGATATCATCACCTTTCAATAACATCACCATTAAACCAAGATTCATAGTGCTTAGCACACAGATTTATACCTCCTGAAAAAGAAACTGAACAGATATTTCTTGACCCAGAGGAACTTAAAAGATTAAAAACCAACTTCTAAATTATAATTAATAACATGATAGTTTATACAAACATTCTTTTGGCTATATCTTTTATCAGATCTTTAACAACAGAAAAGGATACAATGATATTCCAAGGACCAAGTCTCAACCAATTTGGCCAAAAGCCTTTATATAGAGCAAAAAAACCTTCATTCTTCCATGTCTGTTATAAGGGGAAAGAAAAGTTAACTTCCAAATTTTCATTTATGTCAAATGCATTAATAATAGTATCTGAGCTGAACCAATCTATTTTTCTTAAAAATTAAATCCTGTTTGGAAGGACTATCTAAGAAATCATTGCCCTATGCCTCTTTTGGTCTTTAAAGTCTTCCACAAAGGTAAAGACCAAGGTTCCATGCAAAACCATCCCACACCAAAGCAGGCAAACAGCAACTGAATGAATAAGAAATGAGATATAATTCCAATCATTTTTGCCATTTTTCCATTTGGTCCCACAAACAACTCAGCCATAAAGAAACAAAGCAATGGTGGTGAAGATAAAATTCAGACCATCACTATTTCATACTGTTGGATGAATACAAATAAATATCTTTGCTTCAATAAAGCAATACTTGATGTGTAAGATGTGCCAGCATCATGAGGGAAAAGGAAAACCATAAAAGTGGTCCCTAAGCTTTGGTTGCTGGCATTTTTAGTAGGAAAGACAGCAGCAAACTTCTGTCCACTGATCAGACATAGACCCAAACTTGTAAACTAAGAATTACAGTACGATTGATAAATTCTTTCGTAAGATGTCTGAATGAAGGATACTTATTCCAGTTTGACTCAACAGAAAGAATATATATTTTGGAAAGAGACACAGTTCTATTATGATTACAGAAAATATGACTATTTTTTCACCCTTCACAGCAAAGCAAAGGTATGAAGAAAATGAACTTTCATTTCTAACATTCATATAGATTTTGTATTTATAAAAGTTAGCCTGTGTGAGAAAACTGTGTACTACCTCAGGGCTTTACAGTATCCCTCATCTTAGTTATAACAGTCCTTGACATTTAGTTACTTCTTAGGTTAAATAAATAAATAACATATGAATATAAATAGATATCTATGTATATATTTGGGGAACAGTTTCACTGACTGAAGCAATCCAATAGAATATTGAAGATTAAGTAAAATAAATTTGCCTATTTCTCAATACTGTCCCTTATAATTAATTACACTAACAAGGTTTACCACATTATTCCAGGCACAATGCCGTTTGTAGGCATTATTTCAGTTACTTTTACAATAACCCTGTAATATAGGAGCTATTATTGTCCCATTTCATTTATGAGGAAACTGAAGTATAGAGTCTGTACCTTGACCAAAGTCACACAATAGTAAGCGACAGATCCACAGATCTATCTTGCTATAAACAGTGTTTTAAATAATAAGAAACTCATGATTAGAGGATCAGATAGAACTAATGAGCTACAAAAGAATTCCCAATGCTACACAGATGGACATTCATTCTCACCTGTAACAAGCAATCCAGGGTACCTGTGTACCCAGAGCATCTGCCATCATGAAGGACTCTCTGATTCATCATCCGTGTTCTCACAACATCCACAGGGTTGGAAGCCAGGGCTCCTGCCAGGCCACAGGTGAAGCTTGAGCTATAAAGAAGATACCACAAAAAGGTCACCACCACCACTGTCAAAGGCAGGAAACAGCCTCCTCTCAAATGATGTTAAAATAACACGTAACAAGATGAAGTGTATCAAAAATGAGGACCATAACCAGAGAGCTGCACAAGCTTCTTAAACACTAGCACTGATTATACTGGCTCATAAATTCCAACCTCAGCTAAGAATTCCTTTGAGGTTCTAGAATGTCAAAGAATCACAGAAATGTGAAGGAACATCCTCTAAGGATGACCTACTGCAGCAATTTTCAACCTTTCTCATCTCATGGCACACAGAGGCTGTTCCTAAAGTTCTACATACAGCACAACAAAAAAATGAGGTATAGTTTTTATTCATTGACATCAGACAGCTATTGTTGTGTTGGCTACCGTCATTTTTTTATTCGACAATTTAAAGGAAAAGAGGTCGGTGCTCCTGACAATGGTTGAAAATCACTGATCTATTACATCTATTCATCTACAAGTAGACATCAGAGTACCTTGAGCCATATCATAACCATATTTTTCTTCAAGATCAGAGAAGATTTCCTTACTGAAATGCCCACCAAGGTCTTTAGGTTCTACTAAACTTTCAGTCTGATAAGACTGCACAGACCACACTTGGTTTCAATTAACTCAGAGCAGCATTTCCCAACTTCAGCACTATTAAGATTTTTGAACCACGTAATTCTTTGTTGTGTAGGTCTGTCCTGCTGCATGATGTTTAGCAGCTCCCTGGCCTCTACACAGCAGATGTGAATACTACTTCCTACAGTCTCCAAAAACTGCCAAATGTCCCTAAGGGGCAAATCGCTGCTCAATGGATTAAACTATGAAACATCCACACTAATCTGTAGCTATTAAAAATAAATAAAGTCTGTTTGTACTAATATGAAAAGACATTTGGAATATATTATCAAATTGTAAAAACCATGTAAGAAAGACAAATATTGTGTGGTATTACTCATACATGGAATCTAAAAACAAACAAACAAAAACTAGTCCAACTCATAGAAACAAAAAGTAGAAAAGTGGTTGCCAGGGGCGAGGGGGTAGGGGAGCAGGGAGACAGTAAGGTACAAACTTTCAGTCACAAGATGAGTAAGGTCTGAGGATCTAATGTGTAACATGGTAACTATAGTTGATAAAACTGCATTATATAATTGAAATTTGCTAAGATAGAAGAACTTAAATGTTTTCACACACACAAAAGGGTACACATGTGAGGTGATAAATATATCAACATGATAGAAAGAATCTTTTCACAATGTATATATATCATATCTTTATGCTGTACACTTTATATATCTTTCAATTTTACTTGTCAATTGTATCTTAATAAAAGCAGAACAATAGTACTAAGAAAAAACAAGGAAGGGAATGCAAAGCATAATCTTTGTGTAACAAAGTATATGTAATATACTTTTGTAGACATATTTGCATATGCATAGAAAACACCTGGAAGGTACTTATAAAACTATTAACAAGCCCTGGCTGGCGTAGCTCAGTGGATTGAGCGCAGGCTGCAAACCAAAGTGTCACAGGTTCGATTCCCAGTCAGGGCACATGCGTGGGTTGAAGGCCATGGCCCCCAGCAACCGCACATTGATGTTTCTCTCTCTCTTTCTCCCTTCCTTTCCTCTCTAAAAATAAATAAAATCTTTAAAAAAAAAAGAACTCTTAAGAATTGCTACCTATATAAATGGATAAGGATTTTTCCTTTTTCCTGATTCATTTCTGTAATGTAATTTTTCAAGTATGAGAATATAATACTTTTATAATAAGCTTTCTATTAAAGTTTCTATAAATTTGTAGCAAATTTCCACCCTAAATTTGTGTATACCTAAAATATTAATTTAAAAATCCATACACATACAGGAAGTGAGTATACACAGTGTCTTCCATCAGGCCTGAGAGAATCAGATGCTTCTTGGTGAGGTCATAGACTGGCAGCTCCACACCAACAACAATAGCAGCCCTCTGAGCAGTAAGGGACACACCCTGGATAAAAACATTAATAATAATTCAGATATCTCTCCATAGAAGAAGCCCTGCAGATGTGCAAAGGTTCGACTCCACAAACTATGGACAATATTTATGTTTTCCTGCTGATAGGTAGAAATATACAATGACAAAGATAGAAAAGACAAGAGTAAAAAGTCAGAAGCTCCGAAGTCAAACTCTGATTTTACCACTAACTATGCAAACTTGACCAGGGTAAGTCACCTCTCAGAGTCTCCAGTTTCCTTGTACATACAGAGAAGATTCGGGGTGTTACCTTTAGGGACTATTTTATGAACTGATGAGTCATTAGAATATTTAAAAAAGCACTAGTAACAGTCTCCACTTAATAGGCATGAAACCACATATATCATAAAATTCAACATAACGGTGACCTAGAACCCCTTTCTCCACAAGAATTTTTTTTAAAAGCAAAAAAAAAAAAAGCAAACAAAGTGCTCAATCTTCACAGAATTTCTTATATATGAAGTATTCAGAAGGTACTTTCAAATCATGACATATTCCTTATATTTCCACTTTACAGAAAAAATATCTTCAAGGGCATATATCACTTTTCTTCCCTTACTCCATTATACCACTTGGACTAAATAAAATGATGCACATAGGAAAGATAAATTCAAAAGGAAACAAAGGGAAGAACTAAGTCAGTTGGATCCATATTCAAGCTTACCTTCCACAGTCCTCTCGTTCCCTCTTGCTGGTAAATGTTAATGAAGTTGCCTATCATGCCTCCTTGAATGGTGTTGCTTTGTGCTTGCATCCGTATCTAGATTATATCAAAGACTAACATTATCTGGAGGTTATTTTAAAGACTAACATGAGAAGGAAACTAGCATACTTCTCCTCAAACATAGATCTCTAAAATTCAATCTGTTGTTTAATAATCATTAAAAGAAAAAACAAACTATAATTATAAATGTTACTATAATCCTAGTTGAAAATATCCTCAGTAGACTAAAAAAATATATGGATTGGTTCTTAGGCTCTTTAGATTAAACAAAAAGCATCTAATAAAGTCTAGAATGTCTTGCACATAATAGCTCATTAAGTATCAAAAAGAAATTAATTTTTTAAAAATACTCTTTGAGCCCTGGCTGGCGTAGCTCAGTGGATTGAGCGTGGGCTGCGAACCAGGCATCACAGGTTTGATTCCCAGTCAGGGCACATGCCTAGGTTGCAGGCCATGACCCCCAACAACCGCACATTGATGTTTCTCTCTCTCTCTCTCTCTCTCTCTCTCTCTCTCTCTCTCTCTCTCTCTCTTTCTCTCTCCCTTCCCTCTCTAAAAATAAATAAATAAGATCTTTAAAAAAAATACTCTTTGAAAAGGAAAGAACATGGTATTTTTTCCTACAAGTTACCAAGTAGAAAAGAGAGAATATGATCATAATTCTAAACATTTAACATAATTAATAAGAATATCCAGTGTACTTGACAACACCTAGCATAAACAAGGCTATTTCTTTAATTAGTTACTCCAACTCAGTTATTTCCAACCAGCTGGACTGAAAGGTATGCAGGCGAGTTAGCCACAGTACAGCCACATGATGCCTGTCACAGTCTGTTACACTTGAATTTATAAATGAACTTTATAATGCCATAATATTCACATGACCAAATTCCAAAATAAAAGTGTCTGATGTAGATCTCTGCATTTTTAAAAAAGAGAAGACAATTCTCACTAAAAAAACTGGTACCTTATTTTGGTTCAGGGAGCAAATATCTCACTCTAATGTCTTTTTTAAAAATATAATTTATTGATTATGCTATTACAGTTGTCTCAATTTTTCCCCTTTGCCCCCCTCCTTCTAATATCCCCTTCCCTCTAGTAATTGCTGCCCTTAGTTCATGTCCATGGGTTGTGCATGTAAGTTCTTTGGCTTCTCCATTTCCTATACCATTCTTGACATCCCCTTCTATTTTGTACCTACCAATTATGCTTCATAAGCCCTGCACCTATTCTCCCATTGCCCTCCTTTCCCCTCCCAGTTGATAACCCTCCAAATGATCTTCATATCTATGACTCTATTCCTGTTCTGGTTGTTTGCTTAGTTGTTGTTGTTTTTTTTTTTTAAGATTTAGTTGTTGATAGTTGTGAATTTGTTGCCCTTTTAGTGTTCAGTTTTGATTTTCTTCTTTTTCTTATATCAGTCTCTTTAACATTTCATTTAATAATGATGATGGTGATGATGAATTCCTTTAGTTTTACCTTATCTGGGAAGCACTTTATCTGCCCTTCAATTCTAAATGATAGCTTTGCTGGATAGAGTAATCTAGACTGTATGTGCTTGTTTCCATCATTTTGAATACCTCTTGCCAGTCTGTTCTTGCCTGCAAAGTTTCTTTTGAGAACTCAGCTGACAGCCTTATGGGAACTCCTTTGTAGAAAACTGACTGCCTTTCTGTTGCTGCTTTTAAGATTCTCTCCTTATCTTTAACCTTTGGCATTTTAATTATGATGTATCTTGGTGTGATCCTCTTCAAGTGCAACTTTTTTGGGACTTTCTGTGCTTCCTGAACTTGTATGTCTAATTCCTTCACCAAATTAGGGAAGCTTTCTTTCATTATTTTTTCAAGTTTTCAATTTCTTGCTCTTCCTCTTCTCCTTCTGGCACCCCTAGGATTCAGATGTTGGTATGTTTAAAGTTGTCCCAGAGGTTCCTAAGCCTATCCTCATTTTTTTAATCCTTTTTTCTTCCTGCTGTTCTTATTGAATGGTTTTTCCTTCCTTGTGTTCCAAATCATTTGAGTCTCGGCTTCATCCTTTCCACTGCTGGTTCCATGTAGATTTTTCTTTATTTCACTTAGTGTAACCTTCATTTCTTCCCTTATGTTTTTCCCTTACTCAATGACTTCTTTGAGCATACTGATCACCAGTGTCTTGGACTCTGCATCTGATATGTTATCTCAGTTTCATTTGGTTCTTTTTCTGGAATTTTATTCTGTTCTTTCACTTGGGCCGTACTTCTTTGTCTCCTCAATTGGGCAGAAACACACATCTATGTGTTTGTTTCTGTGTATTAGGTAGAGCTGCTTTGACTCCCTGTAAAAGGCACTTGTAAATTGTATGGGGCAGAGCCTTAGGTAATTGCTAGGGCAGGGGAACCCACTTAACCACTTTTCAGCTCTATGTTGGGGGAGGCCTTGGAGATGGGGCAATGCTGCTGCCTGGTTTCTGGAGGTTGTCCCAGCACTCCCCCTGTTTCCAAGCACTTCACCTACTTCTTATATGTGACTGGCACCCTTCCAGCTGTTGTCCTGATGGTGAATCCCAGAGTGGGTGAGTTTGTATATGTTCTAGGTCCGTGCATGCTCTTTAAATGGACTCTCCTGAAAGTTTGGCCGTTTATTCCACCACACCAACCCCCACTGATTTTTACAGCCAGAAGTTACGGGGATTTATCTTCCTGGTGCTGGAACCCTGGGCTGTGTGGCTTAGCCTGGGTCTGGGATCACCCGCTCCCAAGGTATCCCTCCCAAGTTTTATCCAACATACATGAATGTGGGACCACCTATTCTGCTGCCACTGCTGCCATCACACCACGCAGCGTCTCCGTGATTCCAACCCTCCTACCCATATGGATGAATGTGGCTTCTTTAAATCTTTGGTTGTCAGGTTCCATACAGCTCGATTTTCTGAAGTTATTTGTTTTGAGAAATAGTTGTAATCTCTCTGTGGTTGCACGAGGAGAAAAAGCATGTCTACCTATGCCTCCATCTTGACCAGATATATCACATCACTCTAATTTCTTAAAAGAAACTGTTACTGCCATGCTAACATGTGAAAATAAATAAAAATACATACAGGAACTATCTTTCTGTAGCCCTAATATATGATTAAGAGATTAATAGAAGTATGGATGTTTTTCTCTAGTAATCTTACCCCAACACAGGTAAAATTATGGTAACAGTGCCTTCATACATGTTGCACCTTTACCATGCATAACTGTAGTGTACTCAACATGCTACTGTATAAAATTGTGATGCTTCTCAGAATCTCCTATGAGATGGAAGGCTCTCTCAGGGCACAGTCTTTGTCTTACTCATTTTTGGATTCTAAACATCAATAGTACCCCAGCTGGTGCAAGGTGGAAGCATAGTAAACTCTGGTTAAATAATATAGAAAAAAAGGAGAGGGAGGGAGAAAGGAATATCTGAGAGGGTTCAAAAAGTAACTCATAACTAATTTTTATTTTAATTAGTTTATTCCCTTCCCTTATTCCAAAAAGGATTTAAGAAGACTGTAATCCTTGGTATTGTTAACAAGGCAGTCTAATACATTATGTCTAACTGTGGTTAAGTAAGTATTCCCATCAGTATTTCCTGAAATTGAACTAACAGATAACATATGCATTCAGAAAAGGTCATTAATAAGCACACTTCTATAAAACTTGAAGCTCATCTATTTTTAGTGGACCAATAAAACAACAACGATTTTCAATGAAAAATTCAAATGCATCCGAGCTTAATTTATTTTCTGTTTAATCACCAAAAAACTCATCTCTAAAATGAACTCTACTTTTGAGCTCATCTGTATCAGTAGGAAATAAGAGTTTCACAACACTTAATTATAAACACACAGACAGTGTACATTACATTCACAGATTTTCATTATCTGAGCATTGCTCTCAATAAGAAAATATGGATTGTACCTAGAAGATATAAAGAGCACTGCTTACTTTCAAAACATCAGTTGGATTGGCAATGGCTGAGGATATGACTCCAGAGAGAATTCCACACACCACATTTATCAGAAGAGTTTCATCTGTAAACAAAGACATTAGCTGACTATTCATACATAGAGAGCTCTTCATGTGAATAACCTAAGTACAGTTACAACTCACTACGTGCCACATGTTCGTCTTAAGGGAATAAACTTACACTTTATGAATCAAGTATCTTTAAAAAGATTGGGAATTTTGCTAGCTAAAAGGATTTTACTTAGCAAAATTTCTTGTAATCTAAAAAGGAATGTGAATTAGCAGGCAAAGTAAGTAATCATATACCAATTAATTCACTTATGTGTGTAAATGAAGACCATTATTAAGATAAGGTATGTCTGGCAGGAGGATTAAAAAAGACAAATTCCTATGAGGTAATGTAGAAACAAAGTTTTAAAGCACATCTTATATATTTAATTTGAAGTACAATGAAGCACTTTCAAAGCACTGTAGCTCCTGTTCACTATTCTCACATACAGTTTACACCTTACAAAGGTGCTTGCCCCTTTGTAAAAAGAGGAAAGGTTCTATGGATTAAAGCAAAGTCACAGAGTCAGCCAGCAATAGAGTATAGGAACTTAGTTCTTACTATGAAGAAATGTATTCACTGCTTTTTTTAAAAAATTTACTTATTTATTTCCAGAAAGAGGGGAAGGGAGGGAGAAAGAGAGGGAGAAAAACATCAATGTATGAGAGAAACATCAACTGGTTGCCTCTCACACGCCCCAACCAGGGACCTGGCCCGCAACCCAGGCATATGCCGACTGGGAATCGAATCAGTGACCATTCGGTTCACAGGCCACCACTCAATCCACTGAGCCGCACCAGCCAGGGCTGCTTTTCTGAAATATAGGTGATAATTCCTATGATTTTATAAAATTTTAAGTTGGCTGGAACTGTAACGACATATCCTCTAGTATAGGCATTTTAGAAATGAGTATAACTAATTAAAATATTTGCTTCTTTTTAATTGTTACACCCCTAAATTCAGCTGATAACTGACTTGCTATAAACACAATTCATTTATACTTTACACATAGAATTCTCCTGAATGGCAATAAAATCATAAGTAAGCTAAAAAAAATTTGATACAAAACCACTTGAATAAAAAAGACAAACAGCCCTGGCTTGGTGTGGCTTAGGGAGTTGAGTGTTGGCCTGAGAACCAAAGGTTTACCAGTTCAATTCCCAATCAGGGCATATGCCTCGGTTGCAGGCCAAGTCCCCAGTAGTGGGGATATGTGAGAGGCAACCACACAGTGATGTTTCTCTCCCTCTCTTTCTCCCTCCCTCTCTAAAAATAAATAAATAAAATCTGTTAAAAAAGACAACCCACCTCCTGTCTACAAGTGGAAAAAAAGATTCCCCACTGACCTTCTGGGCGTTCAACAAATAACCGCTTCAAGCTCTGGTAAGTACCTATCTTGATGGTGCCATAGGAAGCCTGGCGTAACATCGCAGGGGCAATTCTGTCAAACCAATATACAAAGGGACAAAAACATTCTAAAAATCACTTAAAATCCTCCAGAAGATCCACAGGCAGAGATACAATCACCCATTTGCCTTCCACAAACTACACTAAAACAGGTGTCTTAAAATTAAAAATCCATCAATATATATTGATCAATATTCAAATCCATCAATCCATCAATATAATTGGTGGATATGATGATGGATACAATATATAATCCATCAATATTCAAAAAATGAATGTAATTTTATGCTGTTATATGTACTTGAATAAAAACAGTTTCACCACAACATTCACTATATAAAACACATATAAATACAAAAAAAGTTGACATTAAAAATCTACCATGTTAATTGCTCTTTTTGAATATACCTCAAACTTTTACTTTTTCTTTATGAAGTCTTAGTCTGAAAGACTTCCATTTGAAAGGTCAGCAGTAAAATATAAACATATAAAGGTCACTTACCCAGAATACAAAGCTTTCAGGCCTTCTTCTCTGCCTATCCTCACTAATGCATGCAACATTCCTCGATACCTAATTTCTTTAAAGTTTCCATCATTCATCTGGCCTTGAATCTGGAGCCGTGTCTTGGTTAAATCAATTGGAAATGTACCTTAAAATTTGAAAGAAATATTTCACTTAATAAAAAGAAATTCCACTAAGAGTACATAGTGACACATTACAGAAGACACACATAGACTGTAATGTAAACTAAGAAACACATACTCTGCAATCTTTTTTCTATTAAAAAGTAGGAATCAAAAGAGCAAAATAACAAAAAGAAGACAAAAATATATTTTCCTTTCTTTTCATTTTTATTTATTCTACATAGGATTTGAGGAAACTGCACTGATGTAAAAAGTAGATACATGGATTGATTTTGACAACCAGGAAATCCATTTTAAAATATAAGTTACTTTGTACACATGTGAAGGCTAAAATCGGGTTCATTATGAATGAAGAGAGATAAGTTAATTCCTAAGGAGTTTCTTACTTTGTGTTCTATAGTCTAAAAGCAAATCTGTCAATGCAAGTAAAGAGTTTCATGTAGAGCCTAAGAGATAATCCACCCAACTATGTGAAACTCATACTCAGTAAACGTGATTTATTTTGTCAATAGGCAAGCCCACCTGCACAAGGAACATTGGTGGGTGGTTAATGTGTCCCAACCCCTGGGCACTAGTCCTCACTAGCTCCTCATGGGCAGCCTTCCTTCCAGGACAGCAATGACTGAGCTCTGGAAACCAATGAAGTGTCCCACCCAGCACCTGGCACTCTGGCAGCTACTCCATCAGTATTTGTTGAATGAATGATCCCAGAGAATAAACAAAGGCATAAATAGGACGTCAAGTAATGAAGAAGTCACAAATAGGATATAGATCATGTGCATTATCAGAAAGTAATAGCATAATGATAGTTCATTGAATTTGGCTCAGGGAAGACCCTGGAGCTCCTCAAATTTTTTTATAGTCAAATGTGTTGAGGGTGGGGACAAACTAGTGACAAGGAAAATAGGGACTAATATAATTCAAAAATGGTTCATAAAACCTCTGTTTGGTCAATGGGTTCAACTTTCTCCCCACTAAACTTTGAACTCTAAAATGCCAATAAATAGCCAAAATGACTATTTTGTCTAAAAACGCATACCAAAAGAAGCAAATTTTGAATTCTGAAATTAGTATTTCATAATCTCCCAGTCTGTGCTCGAACTACATTCGAAAACACTAATCATGACCTTAGGTTTTAGTCATTGTCACGCATAGCAGGTAACCTGACCGGACTCCTTACCGCATTCAGCTGTAATGGAGGCCAACCCCCCATACACAAAAGGCTTCCAGTTGAGAGCTGACATTCTCACCACTGTCCCTTCACCTTTGGTTCCCAAAAATATGGCCTCCAACAGGGTTTTTCCTGGAAACAAAAGAAAGATGTTTCAAAGTTAGAACTCCTCACACAGGTAGTTTCTCCTTTAAAGTTGTGTTTTACTTGGAGAGTGCTATCAGATGCTATCACTGAAACTCCCCTGCAACAATGCCCAACAAGTCTGGGATAGGAACTTTGCTTCAATAAAGCAAGGCATCCCTATCTAATGAACCCCAAATCAGCAACTACTATTCTCTCTTTATCAGTTGCCTAATTCTCATTCAGGCCTTAAGTAATCCAGTATACTGATACTTTGATATGTGTGGATGTATTCAGTGTAGAACAATGGAGGCTATTTTCTCAGTATGGGCAGTCTTTTTTATCTTAAATCTATTCTTCAGTATTTGCTATTTGTCACTGTCTTAGTAAGTCACTCATGGAAGGCACTGAAGTCCCTCAGGTGTACTGGAGGAAAAAAAAAAGCTACAATCCAGTATCACAAGCTAAAATGACAATTACTTAAAATTACCAAAATATATTTCTTACTTTACACTCTACAAAGGTTGATTCTCTTCTCTTACTCATATTATGTAATAGCTGGAAGGCAGCTTGGTGTGAAGGAAAGAGAGACACTCTGGGGTCCGAGCCACAACAGTTCCTTTCAAGGGAAGTTAATTTACAGGGTTTTTTTCTTCATTAACAACATCACCACCACCACCACCACCATCATCATCATCATCATCATCACAGCAACCAACAAAACCAACTAGGGATAGATAGAACCCATACTTTTATTCACTAAGCTAAATAAAATACCTAGCTATAAGACCTATTGTGGGGACTAAATATATAATTTTATTTTTTTATTTGGTTTACTTATTTTTAAAGAGGGAGAAGAGAGAGAAAGAAACATGAATGTGTGGTTTCCTCTTGCACACTGCCTACTGGGGACCTGGCCCACAACCCAGACATGTGCCCTAGAACCACTGACCCTTCGGTTCACAGGCTGGCACTCAATCTACTGAGCCACACCAGCCAGGGCTAAGTACATAACTTTAAACTAGCACAAAAGACATTCAACAAATGCTTCCATCCTCCTTTTCCTTAATAGGTCAGGCCAGTTTGCACTAAGAGATATATTCACATGCCTGCCACAGCCGGGTCTCCCACATTCATTATATGTTCTGCTGTTTTACAAATGTTGGTAAATATGGCCTCAGGTCCATTAACAGGTAATACATATAAGTTAACACGCTTCTGTATGTATTCTATCAAGTATAATTCTTATTGGCTTAAAATAAAATTTCTAATTTATTAGGCTCATTACTGGCAAAAAATATGCCCAATGTTTCTACTTCACATGTTTTAGGAACTTCCCAAGTCTACACTTCCTAGGAGAGGCCTACCATAAGTCACTATTGACAAGACTATCAGTTTTTAACAAGTCAAGGGGCTTGCTTAAACTAAGAGAAAACACAAAGAATCCAAAGGGGACACTAAATAGATATACCAATAGCTATTCCTCACTTATAGGCATTAGGCAAATTCAGAATGGTTACAAATGAGTGAGGCAGAAGGCTCCCTAAGCGTGGAACTAGAAAATCATCCTATGCTTTATATATTTCAATACCAAGAACAAGCCTTGTCCCTAAAAATTTATCTCCCTATTGTCCTTGAAAACATTCAATATCTGTACTTAACTAATTCTTAGCCTTAATAAGTTCATAACTAATATAAAGATTAACACTGTAAATTATAGCCTGTAAGAACACATTAATAATAAATCCAATAATTTATTTACTGTCTAGTAGTACCTTCCTCAACCCATTTTGGGCTTTTGCTGAATCCTTTAAAAGCAAAATGATAACTACATAACAAGGACATATGGAAGTGTTCAATATAAATGATTTCAGTGGATCCCCTCAACAAGTGTTGGATAGAAGGACAGAAAAACAGACCAGGAAGCCAAGTCTCAGGGGACAGGGCAGAGATGGGCTTCCAACCCCAAGTGTTCTGATTCCAAGTGCAGGGTTCCTTCTGCTGCCACCTAAGGCTGTATCAGGGGTGTCCAACCTTTTGGCATCTCTGGGCCACACTGGAAGAAGAAGAGTTGTCTTAGGCCACACATTAATACACAAACACTGACAAAAACTGATGAGCAAAAAAGGGATTTAAGTAAATTTACGATTTTGTGTTGTTTGCACTCACAGCCATCCTGGGCCACGTACAGGCCATTGGCCATGGGTTAGACATCCCTGCGAGACAATCATAAAAGAGTAATGACATTTTAATCAAGGAGAAAATATTACTAAGCACCTTTGAAAAGGTGCTGCTGATAAGATGCATATTATAAGCAATAAAAATATGCTTAATTTAAGAGAAAAGCTTTAAGAGAAAATATTCAGAAGGTAGTCAACCTAAATAGAGATAATTTATTTTTCCAATGCAACAACAAAGATAGTGTTCACATGCTTTTTCTTACAAGGGTATTTTTACTGAGTTGAAATTCACGTACTATAAAATAAAACATTTCAGCAAATACTTCAGTGACACTTACATTCACAATATTGTGCAACCACTACCATCATCTAGTTTCAAAATATTTCATCATACCATAAGAAAACTATTAAGCAGTTGCTCTCCATTACCCACTCTCCCTGGCCTCCATATGATTTTCTTGGCTGTGATACTACAAATGCATCAAGCAACTGTGTGGAACATACAGAACTCCTTATTAGTAATTCCTAACCTGGCTGCAGAGCTTCTTAAAAATACAGACACCAGGGCCCCATCTACAGAATGAGGATCTCAGGGACATCCCAAGCACCTGCGTTCTTACTGAAATCAGTGAGTTAAATATATTATGGCCAACTCACACCAGGAAAACTTATCACTTAAATTCCTGTTTTAAGTAGTGTAATTCTCAAAGATGATAATATATAATTCATTCTTTTTATTCATCTTATTAAGTAATGATTTTTTCTATAGTGAATATATTATGTGTCTATGTATTCATTTATATGACATATGCACACATATACACAAAAGATACCCTTTAAAATGTCAGCAAAAATTTATGGGAAATGGGATTATACTAACTTCTAATTCAAAAACAAAACATTGTTTAAAGAGAAAAAACTAATGGATACAGACAACAGTGAGGTGATTGCAGGAAGGAGAGACAGGAAGCAGGGGGGAGGGCATGAGGGGTAAATGGTGATGGAAGGAGACTTGACTTGGGGTGAACACACAATACAGGGTACAGATGATGTGTTGTAAAATTGTGCACTTGAAGCCTGTATAATTTTGTTAACCAGTATCACCCCAATAAATTCAATAAAAAGGAAAAAATTAAAACATTTTTAAAGACTACACTGTCATAAGACCTCATGCTATCTCATTGGTTAACTTCTGGTGTCCTGTCACTACATTTTTGTTTTGCTGGTTTATTTTAATGAGATTTGGCTGCTTTTTCTGCTTTTTCTTCTAATTTTAAAAAATTAGCTACAAAGAGAGGAAAACTTTTGAGTTCTCTTTTCCTTTCCAAATGCTAGGAGTAGATCCCTGAGCAGTTAATACTACTATGCCTTCCCAAGTTAATGTTTGTTATGTCTAAGAATAATAATTTGGTTTAGATAACAACCAGAGAACATCAGTAGTTAGTCAAACATCCAAATAAGAATGGGTTCTAGCAAAGACTGGAATGTCCAATAAGCTATACTGGCCACAGCCAGCTGTGACAGAGCCTCAGTTATCTTAGGCTGAAATCTCTGTTAAGTAAACTAAACCATCTTTGTTTTTGAACTCTATTTGGAGGGGTTCTCCATCACACACATTTTTTAACTTCCAAAAACAATTTTGGGGAAAATCCCAACTCTGATCAAGTGTCAAGACCTACAGGCCAAAAGTCAGGAAGACTGATGTGTCCTTAGCAATTACTAGTGTTCGGGCCACATCTCAGCCTAAGCTTCAGGGAAGGGATTACAAATTGGTAAAAATTCCCGGGTCAGGTATAGCAGTGGCTGTCAATCACTTCCCACTTTGCACTTCTCTTTAGGCACCTCTAGCCTAACACCCAGAGACCACTTTCCTTTGCTGCTTTCTGAACACAATAGCAATACATGTCATTACTGAATATCTGATATATCAGGCGCTGCTGTACATTTTCCACTTAAAGGATTTTATTTAATCATCACAACTCCATGAAACAGGTATAATTATCCACATTTCACAATTGAAGAAATACAGCCTCAGAGACGAAAAGTGACTTTCCCTAGTCACACAGCTACAAAGTGCTCAAACTAAGGTCTCCCTGAAGCGACACATGATCTTTCCTCTATTACTATAAAACCAAACACAATTTTCCAAAGGCTGTTAAAAAGTATTGGCCTGTGGGCAAGCAGGTAATTCTGAACATCCAGAATAAATGTAAGATTTTCTTGCAGGAGAAATACAAACTACTTTTTAGATGTTACCTGAGTGGAGATGTCTATACAAATTATGAATTCCAACGATTTCTCCCTACACTTAGAAAAGATGCTAAATTACATAGCCTCTAAACTGTATTTTCTCTTACTTTAGCACTTATTTTCTCTTTACCCTATTTGTACAGCTGCAAAGAAAGGTTCACTCTGACATAATTAATTCTGGATAAGCTTTTTCAATTTTATTTGTGTTCCTTTTCAGTCTGCTGTACTAAACTGTAATCAGTTTCCAAAGTTCAGTGCGCTCATAAATCTTTATTCCCTACAGTACTGCCATTCATGAGCGTATCCTATTTCCCATTCTTTTTAAGGGCACAGGACGAAAAATAAGCTCATCACAGACTTATAAATGTGAGATTTAAAAGGAATATTAGAAATCATATCTCACTTTGCATGAATTAACTGATCCCATGGTGACGAAACTTGGCAGGCACAAAGCCAAGACCAAAATTCATGGCTTTCAACTTTTCTCACCACTTGAGGATGAATCTAGAATCTGCCGACAGTCCCAACATTGTTTTGCTATTCTCGTACAGGAACAATAATGCTGTCCGTTGCAACTGCTTTACATGAAATTACTTAGACCTAGAAAGACGCTAAATCCAGAGCTACATTAACTTCCCGAGCAAATTAATTCAACCTGCCCTTGCGAACATGAGGCGACCTGGCGTGTTCCCAGAGCAATTCAAAGTACAGTGTGCCCTTTCTCGGAGCAGCTCGCCAGTGCCCAGGCTGCACACTCAGAACCAGGCGCGAGCAGAAGGGATGCAGAGGCAAGCGAAACACATCACGGAGGCAATGCCAGATGGGCCTCTGACTCGGATCTCAGTGACGCTGGAAGAGAAGTTACTACACAGCGCCAGGTGAAGACTGGGAGCCAAAGCGCCTGCAGAACCTGCCTGACTGCAAGCAGCGGGACCCAACTGCGGAACCTCGCGCCCCACCGAGCCGGGCCCAGTCAGAGAACTGGAGGGCAGAGGCGTCCCGAAGCACGCCCAGCCGCGCCGAGTCTCTGCGAGAGGCAGTCCCAACCACAGTCACAGCACCGAGCCCGGAGGGGCAGCGTCAGCTGGTTCCAGGAGCCACAGGGAAGGAGGACGAGCTGGAGGAGGGGTGACCCGGACCGTGCACAGAGCAGCCGGCCCCGCCACAGCCGGCTGACGAGAAACTTACCGGGAGGTGCCAGACCTGCACTCTATTCTACCCAAGCCTTACTAGGTGGCAGGAGCCGAAAGCTGCCCGGAAGCTGAAGGAAAGAGAGTTGAGCGGTGGGGCGGCCGGAAACCCGCATGCAGTCCCGCCCTAGCCCGCCTGCAGCCTGGACTCCCATTGGCGCCTCTCCCCACTTCCCTGCCCAGCCACGCCCATGGTACTCTCCGGCAAGCTGGCTAGGAAAGAGCCGGTCACCCTCTACTTGGCTCTCAACTGTCTGGAGTGGGTGTAGCGCAGGGCCTAGGAGCACCTCCTGAGGCCTCTGAGCTCGACTTTGCGGGGCGATGAAAGAGAAACCTAAGGAATGTGAGGAGAGCCACGGAAAAGGAACCTTCTCAGGGTGCTGATGCATCCAGCCCACTGAACTTTCCCAGTCTGAAAGCAATGAACTTGCGCTCCTTTTTTAAAAAATTTTCTTTTTACTTTTCAATTACAGTTGACATTTAATATTATATTAGTTTCAGGTGTACAGCCTAGTGGTTAGATAATTATATAACTTAGGAAGTATTCTCCATAAGTCTAGCACCCCACCTGACATAATGCATAGCTATTAGAATATCTTTGACTATATTCCCTGTGCTGTACTTTATATTCCCGCCTGACTATTTTGTGATTATCAATCTGTACTTTTTAATTCTTTCACCTTTTTCACCATCCCCCCAAACCACCTCCCATCTGGCAAACATCAGTTTGTTCTCTGTATCTATGACATTGTTTCTGTTTGTTCCTTTCATCTTTTACATTCCATTTATAGATAAAATCATACGGTGTTTGTCTTTTCCATCTGACTTATTCACTTAGCATAATACCCTCTAGCTCTAGCCATGTTGTCCCAAATGGTAAGATTTTGTTCATTTTTAGGCCCAGTAACATTCTGTTTTATGTATGTACAAATCTTGTTTACCCATTTGTATACTAATGGGCACTTACGTTGCCTCCAAATCTTGGCCCCTTTTTCTTTTTTTTTAATTTTATTTTAATCATTGTTCGAGTACAGTTTTCTCTCTTTTACTCCCATTCCAGCCCGCCCACCCATCCCTCCCCACATCCCTCCCATTACCATCCCCCCCCCCTAGTTTTTGTCCATGTGTCCTTTAAATTTGTTCCTGTAAACCCTTCACATTCTCCCCTGAAATTCCCTCTTCTCTCCCCTCTGGTCACTGTCAGGCTGTCCTCTATTATACAGTTGCTTTTCTTCTTAGAGTGGAGTCGTGTAAGTTCTTTATATATTTTGGAGATGAAACCTTTGCCTGAGGTATCATTGGCAAATATGTTTTCCCATACAGTTGATTCTCTTTTTATTTTGATACTGTTTTCTTTAGCCATGCAGAAGCTTTTTATTTTTATTAGATCCCATTTACTTATTCTTTCCTTTATGTCTCTTGCTCTAGGGAACATATCAGTCAGAAGGGTGCTGTGTGAAATATCTGAGATTTTCCTGCTTATGTTCTGCTCTAGAACTTTAATGGGGTCATGGCTTATATTTAAATCTTTTATCCACCTTGAATTTATTTTTGTGTATGGTGTAAGTAGGTGTCCAAGTTTCATTTTTTTGCACGTAGCTGTCTAATTCTCCCAACACCATTTGTTGAAGAGGCTATTTTTACTCCATTTTATGTTGCTGCCCCCTTTGTCAAATATTAATTGACTGTAAAGACTTGAGTTTATTTCTGGGGTCTCTGTTCTGTTCCATTGGTCCATGTGCCTGTTTTTATGCCAGTACCAGGCTGTTTTGACTATAGTGGACTTGTAATACAGTTGATATCAGGTATTGTGATCTCTCCTACTTTACTCTTCTTTCTCAAAATTGCAGCAGCTATTCAGGGTCATTTATGGTTCCATATAAATTTTTGAAGTGTTTGTTGTTTGTCTGTGAAATATGCCATTGGTACTTTAATAGATACTGCATTGAATCTGTAAATTGCTTTGGGTAGTATAGACATTTTGATGATGTTAATTCTTCCAACCCATGAACATGGTATATGTTTCCATTTGTTTGTGTCTTCCTTGATTTCTTTCTTCAGTGTTGTGTAGTTTTCTGAATGTAGGTCTTTTACCTCTTTGGTTAGGTTTATTCCTAGGTATTTTATTTTTTCTTTTTGCAATATTGAATGGGATTTTTTTCTTGATTTCTGCTTCTGCTGTTTCATTGTTGGTGTACAAAAATGCCTTTGATTTCTAGATATTGACTTTGTATCCCACTGTTTTACCAAATTCATTTATTAGGTCAAGCAGTTTTTTGGTCGATTCTATAGGATTTTCTGTGTACACTATCATGTCATCTACAAACAATGACAGTTTTGTTTCCTCCCTTCTGATTTGGATGTCTGCTATTTTCCTTTCTTATCTAATCATTATGGCTAAAACTTCCAATAATATATTGAATAGAAGTGGTGAAAGTGGACAACCTTGTCTTGTTCCTGATCTTAGTGGAAAAGATTTTAGTTTGTGCCTATTGAATATGATGTTGGCTGTAGGTCTCTAATATATGGCCTTTATTACGTTGAGAAATGCTCCCTCTATTCCCACTTTGCTGAGTGTTTTTCTCATAAATGGGTGCTGTATCTTATCAAATTCTTTTTCTGCATCTATTGATATGATCATGTGGTTTTTGTCTTTGCTATTGTTTATGTAATGTATTACATTAACTGATTTGCAAATATTGAGCCATCCTTGCATCCCTGAGATGAATCCCTCTTGGTCATGATGTATGATCTTTCTAATGTATTGTTGGATGTGGTTTGCCAATATTTTGTTGAGGATTTTAGCATCTATGTTCATCAGCGGTATTGGCCTGAAGTTTTCTTTCTTTGTTGTGTCTTGATCTGGTTTTGGGATTAGGATGATGCTGGCTTCATAAATAGAGTTTGGGAGTCTTCCATCATTTTGGAATTTTTGGAATAGTCTGTGGAAGATAGGGGTTAGCTCTTCCTTAAATGCTTTGTAGAATTCTCCTGTGAAACCATCCATTCCAGGGTTTCTTTGTGTCGGGAGTTTTTGGATTACTGCTTCAATTTCATCTGCTCTTATTGGTCTGTTCAGGCTTTCTACTTCTTCTTCATTGAGTTTTGGAACATTATATTTTTCTAGAAATTTGTTGATTTCACCTAAGTTTTCAAATTTTTTGGCATACAGTTCTTCATAGTAATTTCTTACAATCCTTTTCATTTCCATGGTATCAGTTGTGATCTCTCCTCTTTCATTTCTGTTGTGTTTACTTGGGTCTTCTCTCTTTTTTTCTTGATGAGCCTGCTTAAAGGCTTGTCGATTTTGTTTATCTTTTCAAAGAACCAGCTCTTGGATTCATTGATCCTTACAATTGTGTTTTTAGTCTCTATGTTGTTTAATTCTGCTCTGATCTTGGTTATTTCCTTTCTTCTACTTGCTCTGGGCTGCCTTTGTTGTTGTTCCTCAAGTTCTTGTAGGTGTAGGTTAGGTTGTTTGTTTGAAATGTTTCTTTTTTACGTAGGCCTGTATCGCTATGAACTTCCCTCTCAGGACTGCCTTGGCTGGGTCCCACAACCTTTGGGTTGTTGTGAGTTCATTTTTGTTGGTTTCCCGGAACTTTTTGATTTCTTCTCTAATTCCATTCTTGACCCACTCATTGTTTAATAGCATGCTATTCAATCTCCATGATTTTGAGGGTTTTGGGTTTTCTTTCCTTGGCGTTGTTTCTAGTTTCAGTCCCTTGTGATTTGAGAAGATGCTTGGTATGATTTCAATTTTCTTGAATTTGTTGAGGCTTGTTTTGTGTCCTATTATGTAGTCTATCTTTGAAAATGTTCCATGTAAAAAGTTACTAAAAAAAAGACAAACTTTTAGTAAAAAGTTACTAAAAAAAAAGACAAAATCAAAAAATCAAACAAAAAAACCTGTTGTTGGTTTCAGACTGGCCAAACCAGTTTTTCTGGTCTTGCTGGCTTCAGCAGGCTGAGGGGCGATTGGATCTGGGCCCTCCTAAGCACGCTTTCTAGAGCTCACGGAGGTGGGCTCCTGAGATACTTCGGAGTGGGCGTGCCTTTTCCAGGTTCATGGCTGTGAAAATAATGTGTATTTAGTTTCTTTGGGATGGAAGGCTGTATATATATCAGTTAAGTCCATTTGATCTTGGGCATTGTTCAATGCCACAATATCTTTGTTGATATTTTGTTTGGAAGATATGTCCATTTTTGACAGTGGGGTGTTAAAATCCCCTACTATAATTGTGTTGCTGTCAGTATCTTTCTTGAAGTCCTCCAAGATTTTCTTTATGTATTTTGGTGCTCCTATGTTAAGAGCATATATATTTACAATGTTTATGTCTTCTTGGTGGATTCTTCCCTTGAGTATTATGAAGTGACCTTCTGGGCCTCTCTTTATGGCCCTTTTTTGGAAGTCTATTTTGTCTGATATGAGTATTGTTAGCCTGGCTTTATTTTCCTGTCCATTTGCTTGGAAAATTTGTTTCCAGCCCTTCACTTTCAGCCTGTGTAGGTCTTTTATCCTGAGGTGGGTCTTTTGCAGGCAGCATATGTGTGGGTCATGCTTTCTTATCCATTCAGCTATTCTATGTCTTTTAATTGGAGCATTTAATCCATTTACATTTAAGGTTATTATTGATAGGTACTTATTCATTGCCATTTACATACCTGTGTTCCTCTCTCTCTCTCTCTCTCTCTCTCTCTCTCTCTCTCTCTCTCTTTCTCTTTCTCTCTCTCTTCCTTCCTTTCCTTAAAGCAGGCCCTTTAGCATCTCTTGCAGAGCTGGTTTGGTGAAGGTGTATTCTTTTAGACTTATTTTGTCTGGGAAGCTCCTTATTTGGCCTTCTATCTTGATTGAGAGCTTTTCTGGGTAAAGTAGCCTTGGTTGCAGACCTCTGCTTCTCATTACTTGGAATATTTCTTGCCATTCTCTTCTGGCTTGGAGCATTTCCTTTGAGAAGTTGGCTGCTAGCCTTATTGGGGCTCCCTTGTATGTTACTTCCTATTTCTCCCTTGCTGCCTTTAAGATTCTCTCTTTGTCTTGAAATTTTGCCATTTTAATTATGATGTGTCTTGAGGTGGGCCTCTTTGGGTTCCTCTTGATTGGAACTCTCTGTGTTTCCTGGATATGTGTGACTTTTTCTCTCATCAAATTTGGGAAGTTTTCCATCATTACCTTTTCGAATAGGTTTTCTATCCCTTGCTCTTCTTCTCTTTCTGGTATCCCTATTATATGAATATTATTACATTTCATATTGTCTTGCATTTCTCTTAATCCCTCTTCATTATTTCTGAGCCTCTTTTCCTT